GGATAACCACCAAGGACAGCGGCAGGTGTGGCGTGGAGCTGGCCTGAGCCTACTGAACTAGCCAAGTGCTGTGGACTGCAGAGCTGGAGAAGTGGAGCTGTCCAAACCTTTTGGAGCCCAGAAGATCATGAATGAATTTCAGACGTTGGACACTGAGCTCTTTACACTCTTTTTGTTTTTGTTTGATCTGATTTTGCCTCTTAGACTAAGAAGCATTTGTTTTTTATTTTACGGGAGCCCCCAGGTTAAGACTTCTTGATTTTTTTTTTTGTCTTTGAGACAGGGTTTCCCTGTAGTCCCAGCTGTCCGGGAACTTACTATGTAGACCAGGCTGACCTTGAACTCACAGAGATCCACCTACCTCTGCCTCTGGAATGCTGGGATTAAAGGCGTGTGCCACTACACCTGGCTGACTTCTTGATTATTTTAAAGAGACACTGAGTTTTTAAAGTATTGGTGTTTTTAAGGACTATGGGGTGTCTAAAGTACTTTGTTTTATATTGTCATATTAACATTAACATGAGATCTTGGAGGCAAGAAATAGAAAAGTTATGATTTAATATTGATGCTTTTGTGTGTCAAAGGGTCAGTTGTACTGGATAGTTTCAAGTGATAATTTGACACACCTAGGAGGAGGGAAATTCAACTGGGGCATCTCTTCTATCAGGCTGGTCTTTAGCCATGCCTAGGAGGCATTTCCTTGATTATTGAATGAAGGAGCGCCCAGCTCAATGTGGGTTGCCTCTCCTGAGCAGGTTGTCCTGTGCTGTATGAGAAAGCAGGCTGAGCTCAGAGTAAAGAAGCAAGCCAGTAAGAAGTGTTCCTCTGTGGTCTGTGCCTTTGGTTCCTGCCTCCAGTTCGCACCCCGAGTTCCTGTCCTGGCTTCCCTCAATGATGAAGTGTGGTTGGGATTTATTAGCCACATAAACCATTTCTTCTACCAGTTGTTTTTGGCCAGAATGTTTTTATTTTTTGATTAAATTTTTTTTTATTTTTGATAATTTCAGACATGGTTATTGTATTTGCATATTTCCATCCTTCCCAGTCCCCACCAACCCCTCCCATGTCCCCGCAACTCCCTCTCAATTTCTTGTTCTTTTATTTGATTATTTTTACACACACACACACACACACACACACACACACACACCATACATATAATGCACTGAGTCCATTTAGTGGTGCTACTGTGTACCTATGTTTAGGGCTGCCCACTCAGGATTATATAACCATGCTAGGGAGCTGGTCCCTAGAGAAACTGATTCCCCCTTCCTCAGCATCCACTGATTGCCTGTAGCTCTTTATCTGGAGGTGGGATCCTGTGAAATTTTCCCCACCCATCTTGCATGTCAACTGGTTTTGTCACTGTTAAACTACCACACTGGGGAGATGTCATGGAGCAACTTCCCTATGACGTCTAGAACGCAGTAACTAGCAGCAGTCTGCCCTTGGTTCTTACATCCTTCCCTCCTCTGCCAGGATGTTCCCGGAGCCTTAGATGTAGAAGTTGCGTGGTAGATATATCACTTAGGGCTGGGCACAGTCACTTGTTCTCTGTGTCTGACCAGTTGTGGAACTTTTTAATAGTCTATCTATTGCAAAAAGAAACTTCATTGAGCAGTGAGAGTTGCATGTGTCTGTAACTATAACGACATGTATTTAGATTACAGTAAGAAGTTATGTTGATCCTGGTAAGTGGCAATGGTAGGTTCCTCCCTACGGTCTGTGACCTCTCCAGTCATGGCTATGTTTACAGTACCATACATGAATTCTCTCCCACTCAGCAGGTCTTAAGACAGTTAGGCAACTATTGATTACCCAAAGATAAAAATGCCACTGCTGCACCAATAGAGATAATCTTCTGGGCTGGTCATTGATGTGGCTTGTAGGCTTTACAGCTGGGTAGGAACACTGATTAGTTTTCTCCCTTGGATTGGTCAGAGTATTTTATCATGGCAATAGAGAAGCAAGCTAGGGCAGGTATATATACAAAATGGCATTTTATGCAGTTATAAAGAAGAATAAAATTTTGCTATTTGCAGGAAATGGATGGAACTGGAGACTGTCATGTTAAGCAAAATGAGGCAGATTCAGAAACACAGTTATCGCGTGGTTCCTGTCCTCCTCGGGATCGAGATTTATTTTTACAGTCACAGAAGTAGAAAGAGGAGAGCCATCCAGGAAGACGAGAGGGACCAGTGGGGCAAGAGAGAGTGAGGACGAGTACAGTCGGAATACGCTCCGTACGTGTACGAACACGTCATAATCAAACCCATTATTTTGTACAATTAACATGTTACTAAAAATGTCTAAGCAACAACCAGCAAACAAACAAAAAGCATGCAAGACCCCCTGACATTGTCAGGCCATTGTTGTGTTCCTGTTCAAGCTGTGGGGTCATCCTTCCCCTCCTCCTCCCTCACTCCAGGTCTCTGGCCTCCCGGTCCCTCAGGTGCTGCTCAAGGCCTTCACACTTCTTTCTGTCTTCTCCAGACACCTCACACCCTTCCCTTCTGTTTACGTGCCCCAAAGCACAGATTTGAGAGAGCTCCTTATCCATCACCTTTCCATACTAACTTTTCTTAATAGGAAAATTGCTCTGGTCCTGACCTTTCGCCTACTCTGGCATTTACCCACCTTCCTGCACTCGGTGCGCCCATGCTGCATTCTTGGTGTTTTCTGTGTATTCGCAGGCGTCCATACCTCTTTTGTTTGTAAGCACTGTTCCAACATTAACATGGAAAGCTGCAGCTAACTAGGTAATAAGCAAATGCATAGGTAACATTAATAAAGGAATAAATTATAGCATCTAGAAGTTTCCTTTAAGAATTTGTTTTAAAAACCAGGGACCTGGTGCTGGAGAGATGGCTCAGTGGTTAAGAGCACTGACTGCTCTTGCAGAGGACCTGGGTTAGAGTCCCAGCACCCACATGGTGGACAAACTGTCCTTAACTCCAGTCCCAGGGGAATCCGAAGCCCTCTTCTGACCTCCGCGGAATTGCACGACACAGGTGAACTCACATACATGTAGACAACACACTTGTACACATAAAATAAAAGTAATAAATAAAATCTTAAAAAAAAATCAAAGTGATTATCCAGGTGTGGTATCTCATACCTTCAGTCCCAGCACCTAGGAGGTGCGGAGGCTAGAGGAGCTCAAGTTCAAGGTCAGTTGGACTGGTTATGGAGTTTTAAGTCAGTCTGGTCTACAGAGTGGCACCCTGTCTTTCAAGCATCAAGCAAAGAAAAAAATCAGAATGTTTTGCCAGGTGGCCAGTCTCTAGCACGTCTGGCCTTTCTCAGCAGCATTTTCTGTCAGGCATGGACCTGAGCTGCCATCCTCCCTTGAAGCCATTTGCCAGGGTGAAGCCTCTTGCAGACAGTCAGTGACCATTTGAGGACCTGCACCTCAGTCCCCTGTTGGCTACATTCAGAATCTCAGGTCCCAGGTCCCCCCCCAACCAGTGTTGCACGCCCCACTTGCCCCACCCTCTATAGCCATTGTAGAAGAAAGACCTTACATGGGTGAAAGATGGTTGTTAGCTGCCATGTAGGTGCTGGGCACCAAATCCCGGTACTCTGCAAGAGTAGCCCATGGTCCTTACATCAAGGAAAAGGGGGCAAAAGAATGTAAGAACGAGGGGGACAAGACATCTGCAGCTGGCTAGTGCGTTCTTTTTTAAAGATGGGATCTCTCTAGCCCAGGCTGGCTTCTGGTTTTAATTTATTTTTTAAATTTATTTTTATCCTGTGTGTATATGTTTTGCCTGCATGTATGTAACTATACCACATGCATGCAATGCCTGAAGAGGACAGAAGACATGTCAAATTCCTTGAAACTGGAGTTACGGATGGTTGTTAGCCACCATGTGGGTGTTAGGAACCAAACCTGGGTCCTTTGCAAGAGCAGCCAGTGCTCTTAACTGCTGAGTCACCTCTCCAGCCCCTGGCTTTCAACTCTTGATCTCACCTCTCCCCAACCCCAGCTCCAAGTGCTGGGGTTCTGGGTGTGGGCCACCAACATGGCTTAGAAGTTTTTCTTTTTTGTTATATTTTACTTATTTTTATTTTATGTGTATGCGTGCTATGCCTGCATGTATGTAAGTGCACCCACGTCATGCAATGCCATCAGAGGTCAGAAGATGGCATCGGATCCCATGGGACTGGAGTTACAGATGATTGTTGGCTGCCATGTGGGTGCTGAGAAATGAACCGAATCCTCTGTGAGAGCAACCAGTGCTCTTAACCACTGAGCCCTCTCTCCAGCGCCCCCCAACAATTTTTTCTTTAATTCTAAGTTTGGAATCTAGGACTCTTTTCCTTAGGTAACTTCTGGATGACATGATCTTTTACTCCTATTTTGTGGTGAGAAGGCGGAGGAAGCTGCCGAACTGCTAGACATAGGGAGCACTTGGAATTCCCAGACGTGCAAGGGTGTGTGGTGGTCTGCAATGCGTGTGTTAGGAGCTGTAATGGCAAACCTGGCAAGGCCGTGACAATGATGTTAAGGGATGTGTGTCATATAGGCACATTCCTTTCTAAAGTTTGGAAGACATTCAAGCCCTAAAGATTTTAAAGTCTTAAGCCGGGCATGGTGGTACATACCTTTAGTCCCTGCGGAGGCAGGCAGATCTCAGTGAGTTCAAGGCCAGCCTGGTCTACATACTGAGTTCTAGGCCAGCTGGGGCTATAGGGAGACCCTGTCTCAAAAAGACCAAAAAAGAAAAAAGAATTTAAAGTCTTACTGACTGGCATCAGGAAAGGGATCTTCAGGTTGTGTGAAGTGAGGTGATAGTGTTCAACACAGCCTGGGGTGGTATTTCCAGGTGAGGGTAGAGAGCACAAACCTTCATGAGAGCTGACCCTGTACCCCAGGACAGGCTGGGGCAGGAACAGGCCAGTCTTCCTTCTCAGTGGGGCATAGGTGTCTGCTTGCAGAACCACTTGAGGTAACCCACTTGGCTTTCCTGATTCTGGGTTATTTTCCTTAATTTCAGGGTCAGCAGGCCTTAACTCATTTGGTGGCAACTGATCTGAGAAGCCGGCAGCTGGAGGTGATTCCCAGGTAGTGTGCACCGTCTTCGCTCCAGGTGTCTCCTCCGTTGCAGCCTGGACTTGGAGAAGGAGAAGGCAGTGCTGAGACTCCACACTTGCCTGAGCTGTTCAGCAGGGTGGAAGGTCCCTGCTGCCCAGGGTGCGGCATCCCCTCTGCAGTGTGAAAGCCAGCTGTCCCTCAGCTCTGATTGAAAGACGATGACCCTCCTCCCTGTCATCTCCCAGCGTCCCCAGCCCCTCCATGGGGGGACGGGGTAATGACGTCCAATTTCGTGCACTTCAGATCCATTAGTAGCAATTACCTTTCCTGAGGTGTTTTGAGTTAGTTTTAACATAGCATTCTTACAGTTGGGGGATAATGACAGTAATAACGTACACAACATTTTCAAGTCACTGTTTTTAGCCGCAATAACACCATTAGTAGGTCTATTTAACAGACGCATTTCATGCTAAAAGTTAAGGTGTTCCTGATTCCCTCCCTCCATCCAGAAACCCCCTTCACCGCTGTTTTATTCAATGGAGTTTTTTTTTCTTTTTAACTCCAAAGTTTCAGAGAGAATTTTTTCCCTTTTCTGAGTCTTCCTATCCAAACAGGAGGAGAATGTAATCTGTTTGACTTGGCATTATTAATTGTCTAACTGCTCTCATTTAGACGTTGCTTTCATGACGTGAAAGGCAACTACAGAATCCGAGCCCATCAAAATGGAAAATGCTTGTGTTTTACAAAAACACATTTGTGGTGTCTAAGAGAGATCTGCAGCCTGTCCAGGTGCCTTCAAGGCAGATTGACCATGTCTGAGCTTCCTGTGGAGAAAGCTATCAAAAGAGCGTGCATCTCCTCTAGTCAGCTGAGCTGAATGTGTTTTTAAATGAATAATCCAGAATAATATTGGTTTTTCTTGTGCTTTCTCTCCACTTCCTTCGCGAAGCCATATCTGTCCACCCCAGAGACCAGAGACCTCCTCTCTCAGGCCCAGTGTCCCTCTTTGGATGCTTCCCACCATCGTTCTTCTGCCCTGCCTAGTGCTCCTGTAGTGCAGTGCACAGCTGTGTTGCGTGGGATCTGCTTTGCACTAGGCATTACGTGCCTCATTCCTGGTGTGAGCGTGCTCACGGTGGCTGCCAGAGCACTACCATGCAGGTGGCTGAGGACAGCAGACTTACCTTCGGTAGTGGAAGGTGCTAGCTGAGGTGTCTCCCCCTGAGATGTGGGAGGATTCTTTTGTCCTTACCCTAGCTTCTGGCGGCCCTGATCCTTGACAGAGGTTGCTCCTCCCTGCTAGTTTACTCCCTCTGCCGGGGCCTCCTCCTGGGTTGCCTCTCTTCACATGGCTCTTCCTTATAAGCAGCCATAGACTCATTGGATCAAGGGTGGACCCCAAGACATCATCTTCATTTGACCATGTCAATAAAGACTGTATTTTCAAATCAGGTCACATTCACAGGGAGCAGAAATTAGATACTAGCATATTTGGGGAGGGATAACCCCCAAATTTAACCCTGCTGCAGTAAACAGGAAATCTCCGAAATTCCAGCCATGTGGGGAAACCTTGGCTTTGGACCAAGAATCCTTAGGTTTTTCCTTTTAAAAATTGTCCTGGGGCAAATGCATTAGTAGTACCCTGATCAGGGACCTGAGACGCCTACAGCATGTTTTCCCCTTTTTCCTTTCTCATATGTATGTGTGTGGTGTGCATGCTAGTTTATATGGTTGTTCACATGTACGTGGGCACTTGTGTGTGCAGGTGCCCCCCCCTCCTGCATGTGTAAGCCGGAGATTGACATTGGGAGCCTTTTTCAATCACTTTCAACCTATTCACTGAGGCAGGTTTCTCAGTTGAACCCAGAGCTCATCGAGAAGGCTACTTCGGCTGGCTGCTTGCTCAGGGGATCTCTTGTCTCCATCTTCCCAGTTCTGGGATCATAGGCCAGCCTCTGTACCCATCTGGAATTTAAATAAGTGCTGGGGTTCCAACTCTTATGGTTACCCTTGTTCAGAGGGCACTTTAACCACCAACCAATCTCCCTGGCCCCATTTCTCTCTTTTTAAAAGTTTCAAATTAAAATTATTTCAACTGATACGTAAGATCATAAAAATGAACATATTGGTGGGGCAATATGATGCTTTGATACATGTATGCATTGTGTAATGTTGAAATCAAGTCCAATATATCCATCTCAAATGGCTATCATTTTATGAAGAAAGCTTTCTGAAATTTTTATTATTTTTATTTTATGTGTATGAATGTATTGCCTGCATGTATGTAAATGCACCCATGTCATGCAATGCCCGTGGAAGTCAGAGGAGGGCATCGGATCCCCTGGAACTGGAGTTATCAATGGTTGTTAGCTACCATGTGGGTGATGAGAATTGAACCCAGGTCCTCTGCGTGAGCAGTCAGTGCTCTTAACTGCTGAGCCATCTCTCCAGCCCCAAAGAAAGCTTTCAAAATCCTTCTATCTCTGTGAAATGTTTGGTACACTGTCATCATTGCTGTAGTTTGGATCTTAAATCATTGTGTATACTTTGGATCCCCAAAGGCCCCTGTATTAAAGTCTTGGTCCCAAAGCAATCATGCTACTGGGAGGTAGTGGAACCTTTACCAAGTGGGACTTGGTGGGAGGAAATTAGGTCACTGGTGATATGACCTGAGTGCCAGTCTTTGCCCCAGCCCCTCACTCTTTGTCTGTGTGTGTGTGTGTGTGTGTCTGTGTGTGTCTGTGTGTGTGTGTGTGTGTGTGTCTTTTTATTTCTCGGTCTCTCTCTCTCTCTCTGTCTCTCTTTCTCATCTCTCTGTCTCTCTTTCTCTCTGTCTCTGTCTCTCTGTCTTTTGGTTTCCTGGCTGCCATCAGGGGCTCGTCATCTTGATCCTCTGTCTCTCCATAGGTGCAACATGGCAGAGCTGACCCACCATGCTGAGAGCTCTGAACCTGGGAGCCAAAATGAATCTCCCCTCTTTACCTGTAGACTCTTTCAGTGTTACAGTGGCAGGAAGCCGACTAACAGTTATGAGGTTCAGCCTATTGTGAAGCAGCACGGCAACCTCTAACTCCAATCCTACTGTCCTTCGGCACCCACTGTCACCCTTTCCCCGTCCAGTCCTGTACTGCAGCCCCCACTGTTACCCTTTCCCTATCTTGTTCTCCCCTCTACTAGCATGTTAAAAGCCAAGAAACCTTGCTACACTTAATTATGCAAAACATAGTTTTGGACATACTTTTCTTAGCATACATTCATTATACATAATAATGGGTTTCATTATGAAATATTTATGTAATTGGTTTTGGTCTTTTGAGACAGGGGCTCCCTGTAGCCCCAGCTGACCTGGAACTCTTTATGTAGACCAAGTTGGCCTTGAACTCACAGAGCTCCACCTGCCTCTGCCTCCCAGGTGCTGGGATTAAAGGCGTGTGCCACCACGCCCAACTGAAATATATACAATTATAAATATATAATCTACGTAATGTACTTTGATCATATTCACCTTTCATCGTCCTGTCCCCTTCCCACTTCCACTGGTCACTTTTTTCTTCCCAACTAGTCTACCCTCTGTTTTCTTGTGTGGGATTTGTGTGTGTGTGTGTGTGTGTGTGTGTGTGTTGTGTGTGTGTGTGTGTGATCCAAACTCACAAACTCATTTAAGGCTGCTTACAGGAGCATGGTAAAGGGTTATTTATAGGAGCATGGGCACTTTACCAGTGACTATCCTGCTGAAGAAAATCCCTCTCTCTCCCCCAGCAACCGTGGTTGCCTATAAACCCACAGGGTGGGGCAGGACCTCATGAGCCCCTCTTCCATGCATGACAGAACGTTGAAAGGCTCAGTCATGTGCAGGTCTTGTGCAGGTAATTGCAGCTGTTGTGAGTCCAGAGTGCATCAGCCACGTCATGCCTAGAAGACAGCATTCCACAGCTCACAACTCACTGTCATTGCTTTTGCCTCTTAACTTCCTTTGCTCCGTTATCTGAGACGTTCCCTGGGCCTTTGTGTGGGGAGGTTGTGATGGCTAATCTTGGTCGTCAGTTTGACGCACCTGGGTAAGCTGGAGCCTCACTGGAGTCATGAATCTCATCAGATGGGCCTGTGGGCATGTCTGTGGGGCATTTTCTTGATTGCTGATTGATGTAGGAGGGCCCAGCCCACTCACAGGGGTACCAGACCTAGGCAGGTGGGCCTGGACTGTATAGCCCGAATGTGAGCCTGAAGCAAGCTGGTAGGTAAGGAAGCATTCCTCCATGGTCTCTCCTTCAGATCCTGCCTCGAGTTCCTGCCTCAGGTTCCTGGCTTTCCTCAGTGATGGGCTGTAATCCGTAAGCCAAATAAACCCCTTCCCTTCCCAAGTTGATTTTGGTCAGTCTTTTTCCACAGCAACAGAAACCAAACTAGGGCAGAGGTGATATAGATGTCCCATTTAGAGCTGAATGTTCAACAATCACTTATCTAGCACTTTTTCCAGTTATGAGTCTGTGCAGTAACCATTGCCCACTGTGGGAAGAAGCCGCTATGTCAGTAGGAGTCCATGGGCATCAACACAAATTCAGAAGGCAGTTTGATGCGTCCAAAATGTCCATTAGCCAAATAACAGTAGTATCTTCCCCACAAGAGCCTATGACCTCCCCAGCCATAGGCTTTGGGCCAGATTTATGGTACTAGACATGAATTCTCTGCTGTGCAGTGGGCTTCAAATCTAATTTGAAAGTAGTTTGTTAGCCCCATAACAGCCATGCCGCTATTGTCCCACAGGGCACAACTTGCTCGGCAGGTCAGCAATATAGCATTCAGGGTCCAAGCTGAGCAACACCATTGCTGTCTTTTCTCCCCCAGCCACCTGCATAGCATCTTCCATTGCCACAAAAGCTAGTCAGCAGGGAGGAAACGAACTGCTCAGATCGAGACTGATTTCTCTGTGTCTACAGCTAAAGCCTGTGATGTCTTCAGCAATAGGGTCTTACCATCTAACAAAGCTTATTTGTAACCTTATTTTTTTTTAAATTTTATGCCAGATTTTTCTCCATTAATAGCAAGGAAAATACTCTGGGGGAATCAGACCTGCTGCATGCAGTTGGGGGAATACAGACCTGCTGGATGCGGCTGGGGGAATCAGACCCACTGGATTCGGCTGGCAGCATCTAAATTGCCCCAAATTAGGTTAGCAGGATAAAATTACTTTTTGTTTTGAATAGCTTGGAATGGGTGCCGAGGGAAAGCTTCTTTTAAAAACTCAGTTCTGAGTGATACTCAAATTTAGTCAAGAGTTGGATGAAACCCACCCTGTGAGGTGTGGAACAAGTATGTATCTTAAAATGCACAGAGCATAATTACTCTTTGAGACTAGTAATTCAGCTGGGAGTCTCAGTGAGGTCAGAAATCCCTTGAGCCATTCTACACTTTCAATCACGATGATTTTAAACGATGTGGTGAAATGCTGAGCTGCCTGGAGAAGACTTGCTTTTCTGTTTACTTTTCAAAGAACATAATGATGATAATTTTCAACAACAAGAAATCTTCATTTTTGACCCTTGCAGTGACATGAGTCTTTTGGCAAATGGGTAACCCCAGATGGGCTTTTTAGCAGATTCAGAATGGCAAGTTTGTCCATTGGTGTGATTTGGGGAGGTAAGTCCATTTTGTTACTAGCTTGAGCAGAACTTATTTTGAAAGGTATTGTGGTTTGAATGTGAAATGTGCCCTGCAGGTCTCTGAACACTTGATGGTACTGCTGGTGCTGTTGTGAGAGGCTATGAAGTCTTTGGGGCAGGAGGCATGGCTGTTTGAGGTTGGTCACTGGGGGTGGACCTTTGAGAGGTAAAGCCTGGTCTTACTGTAAGTACTCTCTCTTTCCTGATCCTGAAAGATCTGAACAAGCCACACAGAATGTCTGCCTCCACAGATGGAGCCCCTAGTCACCGCCTTCCCCATGGACTGTGGCTGTTCTCTAAACCCCTCACCCCCTTCAGTTGTTTCTGTCAGGCATTTTATCACCATAATGAGAAAAGTTGCTGAGTTAGAAGGTCAGCCCCCAGCAAAAACATTGTTTTATCATGAAACCTAATGAGAAACGGATTTTTGCACCCTGGTGTGCCCTGGTGTATTGATCACAAATGGGTACATGGAAGGGATATTTGTTGGAAAGCATTAATTGTTTCTTAAGATTTGTAATTTGTGGTACTGGAGAGATAGCTCAGCAGTTAAGAGCACTGACTGTTCTTGCCGAAGACCCAGGTTCAAATCCCAGCACCCACATGGCGGCTAACAACTGTCCATAACTCCAGGTCCAGGGGATTCAGTGCCCTCTGCTGTACTCCTCGGGAGCTGCATACATGCATGTCTAACATACACATAGAAAAAAGATGTGCAATTTGTAAGTCACAGCCCCCCATTTTCTTTTGGGGACAGAGTCTCATCTAGCTCAGACTGGCCTTGAATTTGCAATGTAGCTGAGGATGACCTTGAACTTCTGACTTTCATGCCTCCACCTCCCAAGTGCAGGAATTACAGTAGGTGTGTTCCCCCAGGAACTGGGTGTGCTGGTTTTAGGCAGTGGTGAAAGTTGACCCTGGGGCTTTGGGCATGGTAGGTAAGCATTCTGCCACTTGAGTTACAGTCCCACTTCTCCAAGTTCCCTTTGAATAGTTAACGATTATTTCTGGTATATTTCAGTTAAGGTTTAATTCACACACATATATATATGTGAATGGAGCTTAAAGAATGGAAAATTTATTTCTCACAATTCTGGAGACTAGAAATCCAAGATCAAAGTGTTCCAGCATTTCCAGCATCCTGAGGCTCTCTCTCTCTCTCTCTCTCTCTCTCTCTCTCTCTCTCTCCAGGTGTCTTATGACAGAAAGCTCTTGTGGCTTTTCTCAGGACACCTCCTACGGTTCGAGAGCCCTGCCCTTGTGACCTCACTTAATCTGAATTCACCTCCTGAAACTCCTGCCCCCAAGTGTAGTTACATTGGGGTCTGGAGCCTCCATATATGAATTTGGGGGGTGTGGGGGAATATAGATATTCATTCAGCTCTTATCAAGTCAAAGTGAGACATGAGAAGTTCAGTTCTTTTTGCCAGATTGGAAAGCATACTCATTTACCTAAAATAAAATCTGTTATCCTCTGGAGAGACTGAGGAATCTACCATCATGTATCACCTAGAAGCATAACCCAATAACAGACCTGGTGGCAGTGGCCA